GAGAAGATTCAGCGGTGCCGGGGTGACCACAATTGGGCCTACTTTGAATCTTCTATTCCGACCTCTTAGATATGCTCGGCAAATCGTTGTTCATATTGAACCCGACTTTGCGGGATGCGCTACTGGCCGTCCGTAGTGAGTGTGTGGATATTTCCGGTTGGGGCCTCCTGGACCTTACCACACCTACGACGAAACCTGGAGTGAAGACAGTCACGCTGAGTGAACACAGTAGAGGTCGACATGCTAAGAAGCTACCAAAGTGGCCGATAGCCGAAGCCACAGCGCTCCCCATAAAGGGCGCGGGAGGGACTTCATGTCGTGTGGAGGAGTTCAACGAGGCACAGGTTGCCCATAGGCAAACTTTGTCCAGGAACTTGGACGGAGCTCGAGAGAGGCTGAAAATGACGGTAACGTGACCACTTGGTGTGACCTCCATAGGGGGTGGGTGTAGGTCCTCAAGGCGTGCGCTACGTCTCTGTCGGATTTCCTCAAGGCTAATGGATTCAACCACTCTAAGGAGCTGCGGGATGTGTTCAGGCTGTTACAAGAAGGTGTAGATGGAGGAGAGGATGAGGATGATGCGCTTGGTGGGTGGGGTGGCCTTCAATCGGACCTAATCTGAATCTTGTTTTCAGAACTTGATTATTATCTTAGCTATACTCAGCAGGCTACTACTCGAACTAAGTGCCGAAAGTTGGTCAAGTTCATACGTGAGTTTTGACCGACGAGTGACGCTGTGGTGATGATGGTGACGGGCAGGTACGTGTGAGTACATCCTTGCGGACTCTGTGGAGGCCCTGTGCTTTCGATCTACGGGGGGGTTGTTGGCCCTTCTCGACCAATACATGAAGCAAGCGGAGAGGGATGAGCAACGCAGGCTATCTGGAGAGGCGCCACCCGACGGGTCTCGAGCAGTGAAGAGCATTCTATCGCAACCGTACAGGCCGGGCATGTTCGAGGCCTTGGGGAGCGCGCCGGCTGATGAAAGACCGATCTTTGTGAGTTTAGTGACACTCTCTGGGAAGACCGCATGGTTGTGGTCTCAGATCATAGATTGCACTTTCGTGACGGGGGAGGGGCAGGAGGTTGGTAGTCATTTGGAGTTCTCCCCGACAGGCCAGGACTTCAGAGACTTCGTGGAAGAGGCGTAGGTGTAGGGGTCTCGGGGGTGGTGATGATGGGAAATCTTTAGGCTGATGGAAGCCCTCCATGCGGTGTCCTTCAACCGCTCTTTTTTGGCCCTACCAGAATTCCGCCTCTTC